ATATTTGGATCGGGTTGCACTGCAACAGAGAAGATATTACGTTGCACGCTGCAACGATATTGATATGAAATATATTTGTGGATTGGGTTGCACACTACAACAAAGAAGACTTATTTTAGTGTGTTGACTGTTGGTATTGTATCCGTGTTGTTATGAGAAGTTGAGCAAAAGTGTTATTCTGGGACACTTTGTTATGTATATTCTCATATCATTTTACTACGTGATTATTTGTATCTTTTTCTCGTATCTGCACTTTCTGCTTATCCTACACAGGTACAAATTTAAGTAGGTATCTCTTAACGTAAAACTTTGGCACCACTTCAACGAGGTTAGATAATATACTTATTGAGTATATGGGGTCGGCTGTACTCATGCTACACTTCTACACCTTCTGTGTAGATCTTGGAGCTGCATAGCTATGGAAGACGAAGCCTTGCACTGAAGACTTTCCAGCGTTTCGGATTCAGGCTATCCCTTGCTCATGGTATTTTAGGACTTAAACTTTATTTATGTAAATTTCAAACAAATATTGTACTATTTCTTCATTTCGGTTTGTAAATTCTAAATTATAGTGGCTCATGACTTGTACTATCATTCCTTGGGAGGTTGTATAAAATTCAGTCATTGTTTCAGAATTCAGTCATTTAATTCCTTGTTATTAATCATTTAGCAATTGAGTTACCTTGTTTTATGTTTGACTTACCTAGTATTAAGGTTAGGTGCATTCACGACTAGGCAGATTTTGGGTCGTGACATAGAGAAAGTGGAAGAGGTGCAAAATATTGATCAAGATGATAATATTAATGCACATGTGCAACATCAATCATATACATTGCAACAGAAAGAGAGAAAAGAGTGATCAACCGACCGCAAAGGTTTGCAAACGTAGTTAATGAGAATCTTCTTGGATATACGAATCCAGTGGGATTTGTTTTGGCAGTTGCAGTATCACGTCCCAAACTACCCCCTAGACGTGACTGGCATCCAGCTAACATTATATGCCGGGCGAACCAATTTCTGTACTCTTAATCTTTTATATAAGCACTGAGAAAAATACGTACAAGTCCAAGTAATAATTAAAAATTATTAAATACGAAATAATTATCCAACTAAAACCATATATTATTTATAAAATTTAATGACGACTCAAGTAATAATTCTCTAACCCAAATTTCATTCTAAGACCATGAAGCATCTAAGAGAATTACAAAAGACATTATATGAATAAATGATAAAGACTCTTTTGGCAGCCTCCACGAACAATGCGGCGGGTCACCTCAATAACTGAATCAACTATAGCGAACTCGCCAGCTACTAGCTCCGTCTTTATCAATAGTATCTGCATAGACATATAGGTAAGGAGTGAGTTATACGTACATATAACCGAGTAAGATCCTCGACCCGCCACTCTGAATACCTCTGAAAAACGTTTTAGAAAATACAAACACACAACGAGCACAGAAATAATATGCACAGAAATCCTTTCACCATATAATTACTCTATAAGGTCCAAACAATTATTCAGCAACAACACTATGTATCTCATCACAATCTACACTAAGGACTTGTCATAAACGGCAGTGCTGAAAATAAACCAAACACCACAACGAGTCCACGTCATCATACACAATGCCCCAAATCTAATCTACACAATGGACTGGTCATAAGCGGTAGTGCAGGAAATTAACCAAACACCCCAACGAGTTCACGACAGTATACACAATGCCCCAAATTTATCACGGTGTCTTATATAATACCCCAAATCTATCACGGCGGCATACACAATACCCTAAATCAACCACAGCGACATACACAATGACCCAAATATATTACGACGGTGAATAAATAATTTCTAATGCCCCAACGCCATAGCACGAGACTACGCCACATCATACCATACCACAAATCACTTATTAAATAATTTTAGCTTTTTACAAAATAATATAGATTTGCAGCTGGTCAAAGACCACTGATTCTGCCAAGCGCACGCTTGTCCCAATACATGGACCAGACAGACAAAATATACTTTCAAAATAGATTTTGAAAAAGCAATCATCAAAGCTTAAAGTCTCACTTATCTCGAATTCACAATCAAAGCACTCTTTTCAATAACTCAAAACTATACTCTCGAGTCTCCGCATCACCTCAAACTTGATGGTTTGGGTTGAAAATCCCTATTTTTCTCTTCTCTTTTCCTCTCAATTCTTGTATGAAATGAATGGAGAAGCTAGAAGAAGCATCATGTCACAACCCGAAATTCTCAGCCTCGGGACCGTGATGACGCCTAACATTTCACTTGCTAGGCAAACCAACGTTAGAAATAGTTTTTAGACATTTTTAACAATTCAAGTTAAATAATAACTAAGCAACTGAATAAACTGAAATAGAGTGAATAAACAAAAATAACAGTGATATCTAGATACAATCCTAGAACTGGTGTCACAAGTACATGAGCGACTAGAGTACTACAAATAAAAGTATGAATGAAAGCATAATTTTCTGAATTGAAATAAACAACTAGAATAATGTAGAAGGGGACTTCAGAGCTGCAAACGCCATGCAGTTGTACCTCAAGTCTCTATCAAGCACCGAATCCGAGCAATCTACTGACCGCCGCTAGGACCGACTCCAAAATATGCACAAGAAGTGCAGAGTATAGAATGAGTATAACCGACCCCATGTACTCTATAAGTGCCGAGTCTAGCCTCGATGAAGTAGTGACGAGGCTAAGGCGGGTAACTTATAATAACCTGTATGTAATATAATAAAAATAATAATAATAATAATAGGAAAAGAAAATAAGAAATGACAGCAAATGTAATGACTCGGCCGATCGTTTTGAGGATTGCAACCCCATTTCCTCATTTACTGCTCATTTTGTGCTTTATAGCTGTTATGTGACTTGTCGGGGTAGTTGCGGAGAGGAGCTTGGAGTCACTGGTCCGCAGATGCAGATGGATTTGTGTAGATGCGCACCCGCAAGAGCGGGATTTTTTACCGCAGAAGCGGTTGGTCGTCATTAAGTGGACTCTGCAGATGCGGATGGCTGACCACAAAAGCGGTACCGTAGGAGCAGATTTTTAGGCCGAAGAAGCGAGAAGGCCTGGGAAGATTATTAATAAATGAGGGTTCCGAGATTTTTAAAATTTTAAGCATTTCAAGATCGGGATTTGGCGATTTTTGAGAGGATTGTCGGTGGATTTCTTGAGGTAAGTCACATGTGATTTAATTTGCTCAATAATTTTGTTTCTCCATTGATTTTCCGCCTAGATTTTTTGGATTTAAGGTGTAATTTAGGGGTTTGAGACTAGAGATATGGAGAGTTTAATTTGAGGATTTGAGTGGCAATATGATGTCGGATTTGGGTAAATTTGGTATGGTTAAACTCGTGGTTGAATGGGTGTTCGGATTTTATGATTTTTATTGGATTCCGAGACGTGGGCCTGGGGGTCAGCTTTTGAGTCGACCTTTTGATTTTTGATTAATAGCTTAGTATTTACTTTTGGAATTGATTCATTTAGCCGTGTTGATTGTATCGAACTGTTTGTGGCTAGATTCGAGGCATTTAGAGGTCGATTCGCGAGGCAAGGGGTGTTAGAGTAGAGATTTGCACGGTTTGAGATAGGTAACACTTCTAAACTTGGTTCTGAGGGTATAAATTCCTGAATTACGTGTATTATGATTTGTTTGGAGGTGACTCACATGCTAGGTGATGGGCGTGCGCCATAGAAATTGTGACTTAATTTATTCCATGGAGTTGCGTAATCAAATAATCATGTCATTATCTACATATCCTCCACATGTTAGAGGAATTGAGCTGGGACACATGTTAAAGATCATGTTTTGGCCACAGAGATCTTATTGCTATTGAATTACTTGTTTAAATTTATAATTTTGTACTCAGTCACATCTATCTTTTGCATATCATATCTCAGTATCTGTTGCCATTCATTGATACATCATGTCGGGCCGATTTTCATGACATTGTGAGCCCAATAGACTGGAGCGAGAAGGCTTGATACCGGGTACTGTACTGAGTGATTGAGTACTCTGAGCGTGTGAGTACGCGAGGTTTCTATTGTAGTGTACCACATACATCATTCACAGTGGCATGTAGGTATAGAAATGTCATATCCGTCCTATCATTTAGAGTTAATCTATTTTACTTGTATTGAGTTTTTATCTGATGAACTTGAAAATATGCCTACATTTCTACTCTGTTATTTTTATATTGAATTGTACCTGTTGAGTTCGTCACTACTTTCAGTCCAAAGGTAAGATTTGTTATTTATTGAGTTGGTTGTACTCACGCTACACCCTGCACCTCGTGTGCAAATCCAAGTATTTCTGGTCACGGTGGTTGCTGAGTTGCGGAGTCCTGACATTCAGAGATCATCGAGGTAGCTGCTCGGCGTTCGCAGAGCTTGACTCTCCTCCCTTATCTTTCATGATATTTATTTCAGTTTTATTTTCTAGATGGTGTACCAGATTATATATTTATGTAGATGCTCATGTACTCGGTGACACCCCAATTATGGGAGAGATTATGTATTGAGTTATGACTTCCTATCATGTTTTTAAAAGATTTTCCTTTAATTAAGTTGTTTTCGTATCTTTCAAAGTTTTAAAGTATTAGAAATGTATGATTACTCAGCTTGCCTAGTACTATGATAGGCGCCATCACGGCGGGTTTGTTTTGGGTCGTGACAAGTTGGTATCAGAGCCTAGGTTATATAGGTCTCACTAGTCATGAGCAGGTTTAGTAGAGTCTTGCAGATCGGTACAGAGACATCTGTACTTATCTTCGAGAGACTGCCGAACCCTTGGAAAACTTCACATTCTTGTATTCTTGTCGTGCGGATTTGTTGATTCCGGTAACTAAACTTATGTTATTCTATTTTCTCACAGATGGTGAGGACACGTGCTACCGGTCAGGACGGACAGCCACTAGTACCACCAGCACCACCAGCTAGGGCCATGAGAAGCCGAGGTCACGGTAGGGGCAGAGGTGCAGCTCGTACAACAGCTAGAGCAACACCTACAGATCCACCAGTTGCTCTAGCTCAGGAGCAGGTACCCGATATGGTTGATCCAGTAGGGCCAGCTCAGGCACCAGCTGTGTCCATTGTGATTCCAGGCCATTTGGAGGCTTTGGCTCAAATTTTGACTGTGTGCACCAGCCTTGCTCAGGCGGTTTCTGTTCCGGCCGTAGCAGCCACTTCTCAGGCCGGGGGAGGTACTCAGACTCCCGCCGCCTGTACTCCAGAGCAGGGGATGCAGGGACTCCAGACATCGGGGGTACCACCAGCCTAGCCAGTTACAACTGCTTAGGCCCAGGTGGGTCCCGTTATGACTGATGATGAGCATAAGAGACTACAAATATTTGGGAGACTCCAGCCTTCATCATTCAGTGGGGCTAAGTCTGAGGATGCCCAGGACCTTTGGGATAGGTGCTAGCGGATTCTTTGCACGATAGTATTCTAGAGACCAATGGGGTCTTATTCACTACTTTTTAGTTTACTGAGGCTGCCTTCAGTTGTTGGGAGACTTATGAGAGGCGTAGGCCGGTCGGTACAACACCACTTACATGGCGTGAGTACTCCGTTCTCTTCTTGTAGAAATTTGTGCCACTGTTTCGCAGGGAGGAGTTGCGCAGACGGTTTGAGCAACTATGTTAGGATGGCATGTCCGTGACCCAGTACGAGATGAGATTTTTTGAGTTGGCTCATCACGTAGTTTCATTGGTTCCCATGGATAGGGAGAGGATTAGGAGGTTCATTGATGGCCTCACATATCAGTTGCGATTGCTTATGACTAGGGAGAGGATATCTGGTGCTACTTTTGATTAGGTGGTTAATATTGCTCGGTAGATAGAGATGGTCCGTAGTCCTAGTAAATCTTAGGAATACATTAGAGAATCTATAATTATGATACTTCTTTTTTCTCAAACTAAGTGTTTCTTCTCTTTTCCCCCTTACCGTATTTATGAGACCCAAAAAACCTTTTTTCTATAACCGTTAAGTCTTCAAAATATATAATTTTCTCATTTCTAAAACCTGTAATCCCTTTTATGGATAAAACTAGCTTTTAAAGTTCACAAATAATAGAGGGTAGCATGGTAAGAAGATAATTAATCCATATCCATCTGTACGTTAGAGTCAACCATATCAAGTACAACTTGGTTAGCTAGGGTTTCCTTCTCTTAACTTGAATCTTAAAAGTTTTAAACACATGTCTAACTACTATAGAGTTTTCACAGAAGTGGCAACCCGAAAAGGGTCGCTTAATATCTCAAAAAGTTCTTGAGTTTTAAATATTCAACTCATATTAAAATTCATACTAAAAGATATTCTAATCTACATCTTCTTATGTGAGTTCTTGCACGCATATCATGTCCATATTTTCTATCTTTCTGGTAAGTGCAACTGCTACAGAATAGGTTTATGTCTTCATATATGTAGTTACTACCTTGTTTAAACAATTAACCAACCTTTCAACAAGCCTCTAAACTTAAGATGTTGCTTGCACATCCAGCTGAGAAAGTTTGGTGTTATATGTAAGTATATCCCTCATATAAATCAATTTCTTAAATGATCTAGCATGCAAGTTCATGTCACAAACCGTCAAGAAGGAAGTGATTCATAAACACTTTAGTGAAATTATTCCCAAAATTAGGTGTGTTGCTCTTGTTGGCACCCTTAAGAGTACAATAGTATTTCATGTATTAGCCATGTTCTCTAGTCTAAAAGTTGCATGTTCCATAGGCCTCTTCATGAAATATCCTATAGCTTATAACGTGGTAAGTATTTTACTAAAACCTTTAAGGATCCTTTAAACTATCAGAAATAGTAAACTTAATAGTTTCAACTTTAGGAATTTTATTAAGAATATTTTGTTGTTCCCTATAATCTTCTAGGTGCATGAGGACTTTATAGCCCCTATTTGTTTCTCATTTTTCTCATGTTTATCCATTATATCCATAAAGATCTCAATTTTTTTTCTTTTTCATGGAGGTAAGTACCTTTTTGTGATAGCACTCCTCTATCGCTGTAGTGGTGGACTAGTATAAATTTTTGAAATGGACTCTATTACGCATCTTACCAGGAAGCATCTCATATGGCATAATGAACCTTTCATCGGTCTTGTATACTACTTATGTAGCATTTCTTTGCTTGGAGATGGTTGCATGTCCATTGGCAAAATTTGACGTCTTTGAAGTTTGAACCTCTAGCCAAATTCTATTATATGGTAATTGGTCCGAGCCATACACGAATAGGATAAGTAATGACAGATTCAGTTATTTGGCCCTAATCGCCACACACGTATAGAGGAATAAGAAATAAAGACAAGACACATCCTATCACGTCCTCGCAAAATCACGATTATGGGAATGGTCAGCTACATAACCATAATTGAGATTCTACTACCGACGTGTATTCTATTAGTCACAAGAACAACCTAAGCTCTTATACCAATTTTGTCACGACCCAATTTAGGATCATAACCGGTGCTTAGGAGAAAGTGCTCCCAAGTAAGCCTCATCGGTAATTTACGAAAAATCAGACAAATTTTCCTTGTTTTAAGACTATCCAAAAATAAACATGTCTTAGAAATCAACAACACAACTAACAAATATCCACCAAACAAGCTATAATTCTTATTCACGAAGTATTTCCAACACAATAATAATAACTTCATCTCCAAGTATACGATAGGAAAGTCTAATACGAGTCACAAGTCTATATCAATAAAAAAAAATACTTATGACACTTATAAAAATGACTATAGAGCGACTCTAAGAGTTTCAAGAAAGAGACTATAACAAATAAATAACAATCTTCGCTCACGCGAATAAATACGGGGCTCGTCAGGAACTGTTAACTCATGTACTCTAATTAACGGAATCCTCGCCTGCGTCTACTATTGTCTCTGTTTAAATAATAGCGGAGAGTGAGTCGCTAGCTCAGTGAGTAATAATACTTAACCACAATCGTTTTTAATGGGGACAAGTCAGAAAGCATGCCTATATAATAACAATTAGAAACTATCATAAAAATTAATTGCCCTGTCAAAAACAGTAAATATAATCAGTCTATTCATGTACTTCCTGTAACAAAAATGAATTTAACAAATCGGTAATAAACTCGGTAAACACTGTCTCATAGCAAATCTTTATATTTGGGAGCATTTTCAAGAAAGGATCATGTAATTTGTATCACTATGTGGACCCCTTCTTAAAAGGAGTCAAATATAACTGTAGGTTCCTACTCGAGGGAAAACTGTAACTGTATGCTAATTCTACCTTACTTCTAGCGAGGGCTATAATTGTACTCGGTAATCGGTAAATACAAGGTGCACCAAGTCTAACGAACCCGTTGTTAGCTACGGGATCCTTCAAAGTCTCCTCCCATTCATACTTTTCTTTGTAAATAGTAAATATTCATATGGAAGCATTTTCAAAATAGTACAGGGCATTTCAATTCTTATCAAATCATGTAATCCGATTTCGGTAACGATAATCATATCTCTAATAACAGTAAAATATGTCTAGTAACAGTTAGAACATTTTTAATAGCTGTAAACATCTCAAGTAAACGATTCAGTACCATATCAAGTAAAGGACTTGTCCCACATGCAATTTCAAATATTAGGTAACAGATTTTTCTTTCAAAATAATGTATAAACCATGCAAGTTATGAAAACACAAATTGTGGTAAGATTACTACTCACAGTACTCGTGTTGAAATATCAAACTCATCACCTCGAGCAATCTGTATGGCTTCATTCAATCAATCTATAATCACATCATATTAATCTCGTGTAAATATTTATTTTGTGCAGGCTAATTATAACTAATTTAGAAAACTTAACCATCGGGGTTCATGTTTGAGTCTAACTTTATCTATTTATATTTACCCATGCGATGGGTAATTCAACCGGTCTATTATCTATCAATCCTACATATTCATAAAATTTACTCATTATATTTTAATTTACACCAAATTAAAAACATGTACCTTTGGACCTCGTTGTGATATATAAATAGACTGATATGTAGTTAGTAAACTGAAGAAGAAAACTTAAGAATCTGTCAAGAAGGCTCAAATATGGAGTTTAAATGATACCTGAAGAAATCGAAAGTTATTCGAATTCGCAGTTGCCGAATGTTGATACCATTCTTGGCTTTACAATTCTGCAGTGCCAAGCTTTTGCACGTTTTTCTCCTTTGCGAAACATGGATAATTTCAATGCTTTTTTATTCTCTTCAACTCTTTCAACTCCCTTAATCTTCAATTGTTATTTTTGACCGCAATTCCAAAGACCCTACTCCTTTTTTGGTGTGCTGAAATACGCCACCTTCTTTCTGGTGGGCTTTGACCCAACTGATTTTTATTATTTAATTATTTGTTTATTTATCTTATTTTCTTCTTTTGTATTTTTCAATAAAGATCTAGCTAAAGGACAATTATGCCCTTTTTTTAAATAAGGGTTATTACAATGTGTGTGAGATTTTTGTTTGTATTCTGTCATGTTAGTTGATGTCTAGAACTTTCCTCGTGTGTTTGCAAAGTGAAATAGCAGTCTTGTTCAGTCTAGGAAGTGATTTAGGCATTTTTTTGTTGAGCCAAGTATATGTTTTTACCCATCTAATTAATTGTAACGATCCGGCCGGTAGTTTTGACTATTGCAATCCCGTTCCCCTATTTACTGCTCAAATTGTGATTTATAGTTGTTATTTGGCTTGCCGGGGTAATTAGTTCGGGTCCAGTGAGGTTTTGAAATGATTTGGAACACTTAGTTTCAAGATTTAGAATTTAAGTTGAAAAGGTTAACCGGATGTTGACTTATGTGTAACGACTCCGAAGAAATATTTTTGCTAAGGAAATTAAGGTTTTGTGGTGCCGAGGTAGATCAATTAGTACAAAGAATGCACTGATGTGTAAAGAAAATTTTTGCCGGAAAAAAGGTCATTTCTGCGACCACTATGCAGTCGCTGAATCACTCTGCGGACCGCATAATGGTCGCAGAATGGATCAGGAGAGGGGCAAGATTTGAGAAAAATCTGCGGTGCATTATACGACCGCATAACAGGTATGCGGGTCGTATAATGACCGCAGACCGGGTCAGTCACGCCCAGGTTTGGAGGCCAAATTATGCGGCCGATATGCGGACCACATACATGATATGTGATCGCATAACTGCGTCGGGGCTTCCATTCTTTCTAATTTTTTACCCAATCCAACTTCGATTTATTGCCCTTGAAGCTCATTTTTGAGCTAAAATCTGACATTTTAGAGAGAGGTGAGAGCATTTTAGAGAGAGAGAAAGTGAAAACTTAGTCATTTATCCATCAATTCTTTTTCAAAGTTAGAAGATTTCACAAGGATCTTGCTAGGGCTTCAAAGAGGTAAGAATTTCTTTCCCCAATTCNTTAGAGAGAGAAAGTGAAGACTTGGTCATTTATCCATCAATTCTTGTTCAAGGTTTGAAGATTTCACAAGGATCTTGCTAGGGCTTCAAAGAGGTAAGAATTTCTTTCCCCAATTCTTTAATTTCGGGTTTGGAGTAAAGATGGGTAATTAAAAGTATGATTCTTGGGTGTTAGAGTATTATTTATACATACACATACCAATAAGGTTTATGAAAAGATTATTGAGTTCAAATGGGTAAAGATTGGGTTGAAAATGGTAAAAATCTTCAAGGACTTTAATTGAAGATTTGAGGGTCGAGTTGATGTCGGAATTTGGTAAAATTTTATTTGATTGAACTCGTGGTTAGATGAACGTTCATATTTTATAAATTTTTTCGGGTTCCGATACGTGTGCCCCACAGGAGATTTTTGAGTTAATTTTGAATTTTTATTAGAAAATTAGTATTTCCTTACGGAATTAATTACAATAATTGATATTGATGGAATCGAATTAATTGTGGCTAGATACGAGGCTTTCGGAGACCAATTCGCGTGGAAAGGGCATAGTGGAATAAAGAATTACACGGTTTGAGCTAAATAATAATTTTAAATCTGGTCCTGAGGGTATGAAACCCCAGATTTTTGTGTCATGTAAATATTTTGGAGGTGACGCACATGCTAGGTGACGAGCGTGTGGGCGTGCATCGAGGGAATTGTGACTTTGTCCATCCCGTGGAAACTGTAAAGTTGAATGACTTATTGATAGCTATGTGCTCTCTATGTGTTGTAGAAATTTAACTGTAAGTCGTGTTAGAAATTATGTTTAGGCTATATGTTGGTACTATTGGGACCCACAGAAGTCGTGTACATGTTGAACTATCTGCTAAATTGTTGTTTTGTACTCAGTTATAGTTTACTTGATTATTTTCTCCCAGTCTCTATTGTTCATTATTAATGCATCATATCATTGTTGTTTGGGCTGATTTCATGATTGTTGAGAGCCCGAGAGACTGGAGAGATTTATGACTGAGCGAGGCCTAGGGCCTGTTTGTGAGATATTATATATAGTTCGTGAGTTGTCCGTGCAGCACGTTAGTTGTTCGTGCAGATCCATATATTATACTATAGCACGTGAGTTGTCCGTGTGGATCCAGATATTTATACTATAGCATGTGAGTTGTCCGTGCAACACGTGAGTTATCCATGCGGATTATAGCGCCTGGGTTGTAGGAGCCCCTCCGGAGTCTGTACACCCCCAGTGAGCGCGGGTACCCATTGAGTGTGAGTACCGAGGGCTGAGAGCCGAGTGGTTGAACTGTTGTGACGAGTTGAGTGACTGTTGCCCTGAGAGGCTGTACTTGCTTTTTATTTTTTGTTGCACTTATTTGCTATCTATCATTGTTGTGAAATACTTTGAAAGATTTTATATCCGGATTACATGAACTTGAATTGTATAAAACTGATTTGACTTAAACTGCTGGATTTGAAAGCATGTATATTCTTTGCTGGAATTACTGAAAGTGAACTACAACTGTGTAGCTCGTCACTATCTTCAGTTCCTTATTTATTATTGTTACTTGCTGAGTTGGTTGTACTCATACTATACCCTGCACTTCGTGTGCAGATTCAAGTGTTCCCGGACATAGTGGGTGTTGATTCTTTCGCACAGTTAATTTTTCGGAGATTCAGAGGTAGCTGCCGTATTTCGCAGACCTTGCCTCTCCTTCCCTATCTCCTTATTTATAGTATTTGGTCTCAGACTGTTATGGACCATATTTTTCAGGCTTATATTCATATTAGATGCTCATGTACTCAGTGACACCAAGTTTTGGGAGTATTTGTATCGGTATTTGCGAGATTTGTGAGTTGTGTTTAAATATCATATTTTTAAACTTAAAAGAAATTGTGGTTTATTGAGATTGTCGGCTTGCCTAGTATCGAGATAGGCGCCATCACGACAGGTTAGAATTTTGGGTCGTGACATTAATGGATATCTTAGTTAGGCCTGTTGAGCCTGTATTCTTGTTTCTTTGGCAACCACACTATAAGCTTGACCTCTTTGTTTGAATTGTCTATCTGTTTGAACCTTTTACCTCTCGCGAGCAATTGAGTTTGTATGAGTTTGTAAAAGCTAAGTGGAGGTATGATCAACTTTTTGAGTGGAACTATTGAAAAAGGAGAAAGGTGCATTGTTTGAAAAATTATGAGAGCCACATGTAAGGAATTGGAAACAAAAGAAGAAAAATCAACCAGACTTTGAAAATAAGAAAAAAAAGAGTGTATATGTAGTCGAAATGAGAAATATTGATCCCTTGCTAGTGGTAGTTCTCGTCTTGTTTGTGCTTAAAGATAAGGGGGCTTAATGTTGTGAAGGTTGGAGTTTGGTTCAACATAAGTGTGGGGTTTAGATTGCTAATGTATAAAGTTCTCAGGGAGTTGTAGTCATTATATCCATATGTATCCTACCCGTCCCACAGCCTACATTACAATCAATTAAAGTCCTACTTGATCCTTGACTGAATGAGCTAAATTATTAAAGTATTACACTACGGGCAAGCCTATGGTACGTCTTCTGTGGCACATGAATTTTATTTATGAGAGTGAGTTAATTCTGTCTATCTAGAGTTCCTATTTGTTCGTGAAGTTTATTTTGTGTGGAACTACTCCCTATTGTTTGTGTGAGGGCGCATGATTTGTGAAGTTAAGGTAAAGTCTTTGGCCTCTGTGTTAGAGTAAGTGAGTAGGTTGTGAAAAATATGTGGTGCTTTTGAGTCGAGTCTTGAGGCTAGGATGTTATGATATGGTGCTTAGTATATTTTAAATATTCTTGGCATGATGCGTTAGGAAAGTTGTCTGATATGAAGGTCGTCTCTATGTGAAGTGCAGTTTGATTGCTCGAGCAATGATTTAAGTGTGGGGTATTGATGGTGGGCTAGAATCCCGTTTTTAGTCATAGTTTGCACTACAATTACTGTATTTTACTTGTGCTTGAGCTTAAATATTAGTGAATTGCACTTATTATGTGTTTTATGCCTTGCAGGAAGTGATTACGAATTAAAAAGATAATCGGGAGCTAAATCGAATAAGTTGGAGCTTTGAAGTCTGAGTAAAAGCCCAAGGGATTAAACCGGGATCGCGTTCGGGGGTCGGGAGCCAAGTATGTATATCAAAAATAAAAAAAAACAATTTATTCTGAAAAAAGTGTAATGTCACGCCGCATGGGGCGGTGCAATAGTGCTTTTGTTCTGCTGTCCGTCAGAAGTTGCTCTCTGAACTTTCCCACTAGCGCCCCACATGGGGTGGCGCATGGCATGGCGCGCCTGTGTGATTTTCTCAGAGAACTTTCCTGTTTCGGCTTGGAAAAGGTAGTTTCGCCCGGGCCCACTTCTATATTGTATAAATACACCAAAAAGATATTTTTGAAGAGACTTTGACCTTGGAAGCTTTGGGAGAGTATTGGAGGCTACAAGACACGGGATTTCATCATCTTTCCATCAATTCAATACGGGAGTTTGGATTGTAATGCTAGATTGATATTTCTTATTCTTTAACTCTTTTAGTGATGACTTCCTCCATAATTATAGAGTAGTTTACCTTAGGGTTTGACGTGATTTGGTGACTTGGTTGTTGTTTATGGATTTGATTACTACTTAATTGCTTGAATTTCTTGGAAGAGCTTTAACTATAGTTATGATCTTATTCATTATCTTGTTTAATCGGAAGAGTAGCATAATATTGAATATTATTACAACGCATGCCTTAATTTATTTTGGTACTTCTTTAAAGTATTCGAAAGATCTTTGTGATCTACCTCTTAAATTAAGATTGAGAAATATTTGAGAGAAGTTTCTATTAGACCATTTTTACCAATAGATTCTTGCAAGTTTTACCGCACTT